GGCGGCGGCGCAAGCAAGTTGGCCGGGGCTGGGCTGGGGCCGGTCCGAGGGCGTCGCAGGCGAGGGTCTCTTATAGGAGCGGCTGAGGAAGGGGGGGCGGAGGAGGAGGAGGAGGAGGAGGAGGAGGAGGAAAGGGGGCAGCTCCATCTTCCGAGGCTTGGGGGAGGGGGAGAAGCCGAGCCGAGCAAGGCGGGCCTGAATTCAGGATGAGCTCCGCACAGGGAAATGGGAGGCGAAAAATGAATGCCTCCTTAGGAACGGGGTCGTCAGCTCTGGGGTGGAAAATTCCTGGCATTTGTATGTATGTGTGAGGGGGGGGGCGGTAAGGTTTGGGCAGGGGAGGGACCTCAGCGGGGTCTAATGCCGCAGAGCCCACCTTCCAAAGCAGCCGTTTGTCCCCCATCTCTTTCACCTGGAGATGAGACGGGATACCGAGAGATCTCCAGGCCCCACCTGGAGGCTGGCAACCCCCTGAGCCGGTGCAGATCGTCGGTGTCGCATCCTCTCCCCCACCCCCGCCCCCGCCAAAAGTGACTACAGTCGGCAGCCAATTCGAATCCAGGACCTTAGAGCCTAAATAGATTTTTTTTTTTTAAGCGTAAATCATCCTCGTCGTCATCTGCCCGATCCTAGGCAGGCTTCCTCGGAAGTAAACGCCTCTGGGGCTGACTCCCGAGCCAGTGTGCAAAAGGACCGCCGCCGTCTCGAGAAAGCACAGCGCACCCTTGGTCTTCCGAAGGACCTGCTCTCGAAGTGCCCCACCTTCGGGATCACAGACAGGCCTGGGGCGCGGCGGGGCGGGCATCCGGTCCGGTTCGCCTCTGTGGGGGGAGTTTGCCCCCCCCCCCCACAGCGGGGGGAGGGAGAAAGGGATTGGTCTCGTCCACTGATGGATTCGTCAATCGAGATCCCATCCCTTTTCCACCCCGCAGATCTCTCCTTAGGCAAGCGCGCACACGATTGCGCCACGACGGCCTTTGCTCCGATCAGGCAGAGATTCTCTCGTTGCACATTGAAAACGTCGTTCCGTTCAGGGGAGCGTAAGGCCCAAAGGCGAGAGGTTAGGAACCCCCAACGCCTGGACAGCCCCAGAGACCCCCGAATCTGACAGAGCGCTTGCAAAGGCAACGGCCGAGCGCTTCATCGAACAAACCGACAGACAGACAAAGCAAAACACACACACACACCAACAACAAAAAACGCTGCAAGAGATGTAGAAAGAAATGAGAGCAATTCTTGGGGTTATCAGACGTCCTCTAAGAAAACTCTTTTTTGGGTGTCCGTCCTCTTTTGGGCTTTTTCTAAAAAAAACCAACTGATGAAACTATCCTCTTTTTGGGTTGGAAGGTCAGGAATATTCCTTGTGAGTAGCTTCTGGTGTCCTGGCCCCACTGGTGGACCTCCTGATGGCACTGGTGTTTCTGGCCACTGTGTGATACAGAGTGTTGGACTGGATGGGCCTTTGGCCTGTGTTTTTTTTTTTGGTGGGATCCCTGTGTTTTGGCCTTTATTAACACCTTTTAAAGATAAATATACAAAAGAGGAACAGCAAAGTACTAAATCATACAAGTGTGTTCTCTAGGGTTATCAGAGGTCCTCTTTTTAGAGGACATGTCTCTCCACTTTGAGGCTTTAAAAAAAACACTGATGCAAATTTCCTCTTTTGAGGTTGGGAGGCTGAGCCTGTTTTGCCTTGTAGTCCCCCAGTGGAGGCAAGCTTCAGTTTAAATAGTAGAGGTACTTAAATGGAGATTTGTCATAGGGATCAGTTTTTTGAAGTAGTCATCCCTCCCTCCCTCCCTCCCTCTCCTTTTCAAAATAAGGTAACCCTAGCAGTGCTATTAAGTGCTATGAAGACACTGTTAATCCCCCCCCCCTTACAATGTTTCTGTAATATTAGCCAGCGGCCTCTAGTGGGCGCAAGTCGACTGAAATCCAAGTCCATCCAGGTAGGGCCACCGTGTTGGTCTGAAGCAACGCTCCCTCTAAGCTGTGGAGTCTCGTGAGCAAAAATTCTACGTTGTGAGCTGCTGGCCTTAAAGTGGCGAGCGAGCAATTTGCCTGCTGCATCAGTTAGTTGGCTCTGGAGCCCTCCTTCCCGAGCTAAGGGAAAAATGGGTGAGCCGGAGGCTCAAAAAACTGAGCTAGCTCACCTCAGCTTAGAGAGAACCCTGGTCTGAGCAGAACAAAGTTTGAGTCTAGGGGCACCTTTAAGCCTTACAAAGTTTTATTCAAGGACTACAAGATGCCCTCTTTTTAGAGGACATGTCCCAGCCGGTGTGTTGTTTTTTTGGTGTCCTAGTGAAGGTTTGGATCGCCAGCATGAGTGCGCTCGAAAGCGCACACCTTGAATAAAACTTGGTTGGTCTTAAAGGTGCCCCTGGAACTCAAACTTTGGAAACCCAAGTAGTTTGTCAGAATGGATTTGTGGGAAAATGCGTTTCGGGACTGGGGTGTCAAGAGCGCTTTACGGCCTGGGCAGGCGAATAGAGCGCTTAAAGCGATTCGCCTAAGCGGGCAGAATATGTCAAGAAAACCCAGCGCTTTCGAAGAGTTCCAGGGGAAGAGACGGCTTTGCTGCAGAGACGACAC